CAGACGGTGTTCAAAATTAGCCAGGCGTATTTCGCACTCAGCTTTTGGCCGTTTGCCACCAAGTGAAGATTCTCGGGTGCCTGACGCCTCTGCCATGTGGGGATCCTTGGACCTGGACTGTTTTCACACACTTAAGACCCCACCCTGTAGAATTCCATCTGTTATATTTTACTTGCACAATCGGAACGAATTTCAGGAACCGAAATTCTACTTCTGTGCAGCCTCAGCAGGCGCAGCGAACAGCGTTTTAGTGATTTGTCGCTGCTTGCCTTCTCTTCCCCCCCCCTGCTCCACATTGGGAAGAATATCCCCACGTTACGAACGGTCTGTGTCAGCGTTAAGAAAAAGAGGTCGAACAGGCCAGAATATATGTGAACTGTCTCCCAAACACCAGGATGGATTAGAACAAAACAGGGGAAAATAATATTTGATGGATGTGAAAGCAGAAAACCGATTTGAACGGTCATAGTGAAAGATGGAGAGATGTGTGAAATGTAAAACGAACCATGCAAAGAGAAGAATGGAAGTCGTTGGGTATTTTAAAGTTTGTAAAATGTTGATTTGGAATTGTAAAATTGGAAATTTAATAAAAGATATCTTTAAAAAAATAGAACAAGAAAAACAAGCTTTAAACGTGAAATACAGGTTGTTGTTTAAAAAACGATTAAGCCCATGTTGTCCATTGGAGAGAATGAATTTAAATAACTCACCCAGCAGTTATTTCACAGCTGCTGGGATTTTCCCAGAGCAAGGCATCCTTCGTTATGAAATCCAGTCCCCTCCCAGATCCCAAACATGTCCGTTTCCTGGATTTACTTAGGGAGGCGTGTGCACTCTGCACATGCTCTGAGCCGTGGCATTCTTCATTATTTATTTCGCTCCTCTCCAGCTCAGATCCAAACCTGAGGTTTAGCTGCGTTTGTGCCAAACCCCTGTCGAGTCTCTGTTGGCTACTTCTGTAACATGGGATAATAAGAAAGGAGGGATATCAGTATCAACCCATTTCACAGAGGTGGCCAACCGAGGCTCAGAAACGGCCAGCTTCTGACTCCAGGGCTCTTGTTGCGGAGTCAAAGAAAACATTGAAAGAGGATGCATCAAATGGCCGTAGAAATTATTATTATTTTTTAAGTCAACCCAGTAAGGGAAGCGTTTCAGGGTCTGTTTCCACCCAGCAATCCCAGTTTGAGAATCCTACAAGGTCACAGCACCCTCTTGTACCAGCCCCTGCTACTCGCAGATAGACTTCAAATCCACATGGAGGTTCCATTTGGCGGCCGACACCAATAACCTGCGTCAAATGTGCCCACTCCCTTTTGAAAAAAGGCGGAGAGTTCTCTGGTCAGCAGCCGAAATAAACCGATTCGTTCCGAAGGCGGGCAAGGAACCACCGACACCGGCATCTTGTGGCGGTGAGTTCTGAAGGAACCCGCAACCCAAGATGTGTGTGTCCCCCCCCCCCGAGCTAATGCATGCTTTCAGAAGTTACAAGTGGCAAGACAGCTTCATCCATCCATTTTTTAAAAAAATCCATTTTCTTTTCTATTTCAAGGACCGAGAGGCTATAAGCGATCGATCAATAAAAATACTCATCGCAGCATAAAACGGGGGGGTCTTGTTGGTTCTCAGACCATTCCCACCCCCAAACCCAAAACCCCAAGTGATGTGTGACTGGGAATACGGTAATCGCCCTAATAATAATGGACCATTCTGCGATTTATTTTCTCCTTTTCTTTTTGGCGGGTTGGATATTTTGCGGCTATTGTTCGGGGATGGGTTCTAATAGGACAATGCAAATGTGAGAGAATGAGCTGGGAGGGGGAGAGAGAGCCCCCTGCTTGCTTTTTTTTTGGGGGGGGGGTCTCATTGCAGTCAGCGTGACACAGAGTCCAAACCATCCCTTTGTCTGGAGACGCAAAATGGGGTGGATAGAGAGACGCCTGGATTTGCGTGAGAGAGAGAGAGATGATGGAGGCAGAAGAAAAGAAAGAAAACGAGGGGAGGGGAGGAAAAACAGTTTTTTAAAAAATAAAATCAAACTTACCTGCCCGGCGCATCTGCGAGGCACCCCCCCGATTTGCAGCTGGAAACGGGGCGGGGGCGCGCGCGCATCTAGGGAGCCAACCCGTCTCCAAAAAAATATAAAAATCTTATCTCGCCCCTTTTTGCCGCTCCGGGATGCAAAAGGACATTTCCATCGCCTCCTCTTGCTTGGGATTAGTGGCGAAGGGATGCATGCTTTTTTTTAAAAAGGGGGGGGGTCTCCTTCCAGCTTTAGATTCCGCCCACCACCATGGGAGATTTTGGAGAAGAGCGAAAAAAATAACCAATCCTCCTTTATCCTTGGTTTAAAAGGTTCTGAAATTGGAGAGGTTTTCAGAATCCGGGTGGGGGGGGGCGTGTGGGTTGGCACTGGAAGAATGACCACCTGCACCCCACCAAGGAGAGAGGGGGGGCTCAGGAACTGGGTGGAGGGGGGTTCAGACCGCCTCTTTTTCCCTGCGCTCTGCGCTAGCCAAAAATGGATAGCATGGTTTTCTCTCTTTCTTTCCCTCTTTCTCTCTCTAGCCCCAGCTCCTGCAAGACTGAGCACAAAGGGGCGAAAAAGAGGAGGGGGGCCCCCGCTGGTTTGATTTGTGGGTGGGGGGGGAGAGGCGGGGGAGGCGGTGGGTGGCGGCTCCTCCGCGCGCGCGTCTCTATCCAACCTCCGGTTTCCATAGAGAGCGCGGTGATGCCCGGGTCTTTTGGCGCAAAGCGCGCATCTCCAAATGCAAAAAATTGGGGTTGCGCGTTGTTTTGAGAGCGGGGAGGGTACGCTGGGGGGGGGGTTCTTTATTGGGGGGGAGAGATGGGCTCGTGAGCCACACCCTCCATCACTGACTGCGCAGGGGGGGCTCTCTCTGCACAGACTCAACGACGGAAACCGCCCCTCCAGGTCCCCCATCCGATTCTTTCTCGGTGCAAAAAACAGGTCCGGGGGCTTCAACCCCCCCAGGCAGTTTTTCCCCAGCCTTCTCTTTTAGTTTCCCTTAGAACAGGGCCAAATTTATTATCATTATTATTAGTATTAGGGAGGAAACGGTGCCCCAGTCCTCGGGGAGGAAAGGGTGGTGTTTGCCCCTGAGCATAAGCAGAGTGCATCCCACCGACTTTAAAAAACCACACACACACCCAGGCAATTATCAGTTTGATAACCCTTGGGGAGGAAGGTGGGTAGCCCCTGAGCATAAACAGAGTGTCCCATCCACTTAAAAACAAAAAAAAAATCAAAAAAATCAGGCAGTTATCAATTTGGTAACCTTTGGGGAGAAAGGTGGATAGTCCCTGAGCATAAGCAGAGTGCATCTCAGCCACTTTCCAAAAAACCAGGCAACTGTCAATTTGATAACCCTTGGAAAGGAGGGTGGGGTAGCCCCAGAGCATAAACAGAGTGCATCTCACCCACTTTCCCAAAAACCAGGCAATTGTCAATTTCATAAACCTTGGAAAGGAGGGTGGGGTAGCCCCTGAGCATAAACAGAGTGCACCCCACCCACTTTAAAAAATAATAAAATTCAGGCAAGAGGAGTGGGTGGAAGTAGTCTCTGAGCACAGGCAGAGTAGTTCCAGCACAGAGAGAGAGAAATCCTTTGGGAGCTGGTTCCTTGTTTGTGAAATGCACCTGTTCCCGTCTTCAGGCTACCTGCACCTCGGGGGAACTGGAAGAAAACGAGGGCTTCCTCTGCTTCCTCTGAGCTCGTGCAGAGTGGCTGCCCCTTATTCCTGAGCCCCCTGCCCAGGCTACGAATTAGGAGGAAACTTGAGCCCCTCCACTTATTGGGAGCGGAGAGGCTTAGGTTAAGCCACTTGGATAATGCCACAGCTGTTGGGGGCAGATGGGGACAGATCCTGCTCCTTTTTGACCATCATGATCTCAATACAGCGGCACCTCGGTCCTCAAACTTAATCCGTTCCGGAAATTCCGTTCCAAAACCAAAGCGTTCCAAAACCAAGGCGCTCTTTCCCATAGAAAGGAATGCGAAAGGGATTAATCCGTTCCGGACTTTAAAAAAACAACCCCCAAAACAGCAACTTAACGTGAATTTTACTATCGAACGAGACCGTTGACCCATGAAACGAAAGCAATAATCAATGTACTGCAGTCGCACAATCGACCCATCAGTTCCACAGTCGCAAAAACAGAAAAAAGCCGCAAAAACAAAAACGCAAAATAAATGGGAAAAACAGGCAGAAATCGGTGTAACACTCAAATTGGAGCACGTTCGGCTTCTGAAAAATGTTCGCAAACTAGAACACTTACTTCCGGGTTTGTAGTGTTTGGGTTCCAAGTTGTTTGAGTACCAAGGCGTTTGAGAACCAAGGAACCACTGTATGGGTCTGAATGAATCCCCCCCCCCCCGGTTTCCAATATATCCCAGGAATCCTTGCCCAATATTCACCCAAAATAGTCTGTTTAAAAGTCTGGTTTTCATGCCCAGGTGGAATTTGTGGACTTCGATAGGTGACATGCAACGGTAGCGTCGGCGGGGCCTGACATGCATCGGCAGGCAGGATTCATTGGTGACAAACTTTATTTATTTAGAAGCCTTTGGGGGGGGGATCTCCAAGCAGTATGCAACGTAAAAGAAAAACCGACAGGATCATTGCGACAAAAATATAAAGCAGTGGTTGGAAAAGATTTAGAAGCAGAAAAAACTCAAATTGTGCTGTATACAGCTTACTGGCTCCAATTTATCCTGGATTTTAGGCAAGTTTATTATTATTATTATTATTGCATTTGAGTTTTTTTTTCCCTAGGGAAACCCCCAAATTTGGTGAGTCCCCCCCCCCTAGGGAAACCCAAAGGAGCTTTTCTTTTAACGCCCCAAAGGAATGTGACTTATCGATGGACGGACATATGACATAGGCCTGTCTCAAGGACTCGGTTAGAGGGGATTTCGAAATCCACGCAACTTGCAGAGCTCTGGCAAACAGCTTTTATCAGATTTCGTGTGTCGACGGAGGAAACTGCCAGATTGCCAAGGCAAACAGGCTGCTTCCTCTTCTGTGTTTGTGCAGAGAAGGGAAAAAATAAAATCCCACGCTTCGGAGCCGATAAAATACGTCCTGGAAATCACATGCAGACACACCAATATATATCTTTCCTAAGTTCAGCAGAACTTATTCCTGACAGGAGCCTGACACGAAGATGGTTTTTTCTTCCATCTGGCTCCCGGTTGTTCTGGGCCTCTTCGCCGCAGATGGTGAGTCGGCTGCAAAATCCTGCTTTCTCTCATTTATATATATATATATATCTTATTTAGGTATTTATTATGTTGTTGTTGTTTAGCCGTGTCCGCCTCTTGGTGACCCCCTGGACCAGAGCACGCCAGGCCCTCCTGTCTTCCACTGCCTCCCGCAGTTTGGTCAAACTCATGCTGGTGGCTTCGAGAACACTGTCCCACCATCTCGTCCTCTGTCGTCCCCTTCTCCTTGCGCCCTCCATCTTTCCCAACATCAGGGTCTTTTCCAGGGAGTCTTCTCTTCTCCTGAGGTGGCCAAAGTCTTGGAGCCTCAGCTTCAGGATCTGTCCTTCCAGTGAGCACTCAGGGCTGATTTGCTTCAGAATGGAGAGGTTGGATCTTCTTGCAGTCCATGGGACTCTCAAGAGTCTCCTCCAGCACCAGAATTCAAAAGCATCCATTCTTGGGCCATCAGCCTTCTTGATGGTCCAGCTCTCACTTCCATACATCACTACTGGGAAAACCATAGCTTTCCTTTGCCCTCCTCCTCCCTCTTTCCTTTGACGCTGTGCCTTTTTAATATAGTTTTTAATTTTAAAAATATTTTATTTTCCGTTTCTCTAATAGCAACAGTTTTCATATGCATACAGATCATTAAGTTGCCTACCCATGATCTAACCCTCTGTGCTATTGCCTTCTCAGCAAGCCGCCCCAGAGGCCGTATCCTGGGGGGCCGGGACGCCCCCCGGCGCCCGTACATGGCCTCCCTCCAGCTGAATGGGCAGCACCTCTGCGGGGGCTTCCTCATCGCCGACGAATGGGTGCTGAGCGCCGCCCATTGCCTGGAGGATGCGTAAGTATTCATAGTATTGTAGAATTGTCAAGTCAGGAAGGGGACCCCAGGGGGTCATCTAGCCTGACCCGCCGCAATTCGCATGCCCCGTACGGGATTCGAACCTGCAACCTTGGCGTGATCCCCGCACCAGGCTCTAAACCGACAGAGCTGTCCCCTTGGATCTGCCCGTTGGGTGTCGCTGCTCTGCCGAGCCAATCCTTTCCGTCGCTTGGCGGAAACAGTAGATCCTGCGTGAAATCATTCCAAATAAATCAATCGGGTGAAAAAAATCAGGAGAGAATGATTATAGGATTCATATAAATTATACGGAGAAGGTAGCTTCCTCAAATTGTGACCGGTGTAGTCTAGATCGAAAACTCCGCAGGTGAACAAATTTATCTCTCCACAAAGTTTAAAATGATTAACCAAGATATGAGATGATAGGAACCGTATTGTAGTCGAAGGAAGTCAATCTTTTTTTTCTTTTTTGCATTTAGATAAATGTTTTTCGTTAATATCAGATATTCAGTGTTGCATTTCTCTTTATAAATCCCAATAAAATTTATTCAGGAATTACTCCGACCGTTCCCGAGGGACCCTAGACCTAAGTTGTTCAGGGTCTTGTAAATTAAGGTTACCACATTTTTTCCAATGAATCCACTTTTCAGCTTCAATAGGAATGATAGGATTTTGCATGGGGACTGATTTGCAAATGAGTACCAACACCTCGAACCCGGCTCAATAGTAAGGGAACGACCGGTGGGGCTTTTTCCACAATGGTGTCGGCAATCTGGCCCCCCGAATTCGGGCCCAAGGGCAGCCCCACAAAGACCCCATTGCAGAAGTCTAGCATTTTGGCCCAGTAACCTAACGGTGGCTTTCCACGCAGGGGCAACGGGACTTTTGAGGTTCTCTTAGGGGCAAGATCGCTCTCTCTCCCTGAACCCCACAAGCGCCTATACGGGGTCCGCCAGCTGATCGCCCACCCCGGAAGCCACCGAGACACCAACCATGACGACCTCTTGCTGGTACAGGTGAGTGATGCTAGATAAGGCTGCCCTTCAGATGTCTTCTAAAAGTCAGAAAGTCATCTATTTCCTTGACATCTGGCGGGAGGGCGCCACCACCGAGAAGGCCCCCTGCCTAGTTCCCTGTAACCTCACTAGGTCAGGCGGAGAGGCAGCGACTGGCCCAAAGTCACAGCCAGTGAGCTTCAGGGCCAAAGGGAGATTTGAACCCGGGTCTCTCAGTTCCCAGTAAGTCACTCTAACCCCTAAACCATACTAGCTCTCTGATTTTCCCACCAGCCACTTTAGGCGGCTTCCAGTTCATATAAAAACAGAATAAAACTTCAAACGTTAAAAGCTTCCCTAAACAGGGCTGCCTTCAGATGTCTTCTAAAAGTCAGGTAGTTGTTTTCTCCTTGGCATCTGATGGGAGGTCGTTCCACAGGGCAGGTGCCACCACCAAAAAGGCCCTCTGCCTGGTTTCCTGTAACCTGTAAGACTCTCGGCGCTGGACCTCAGTTTCTGGGCTGGACAATGGGGGTGGAGATGCTCCTTCAGGTCTACTGGGCCGTTTAGGGCTTTCAAGGTCAGCACCAACCCTTTGAATTGTGCCTGGAAACATATTGGGAGCCAATGTAGGTTTTTCAGGACCACTGTGATGTGGTCTTGACGGATACACTTGTTTATGTTCTCTTTAGCTGTATTTTGCATTTGTAAGGTAAAGGTAAAGGGACCCCTGACCATTAGGTCCAGATGTGGCCGACTCTGGGGTTGCGGCGCTCATCTCGCTTTCTTGGCCGAGGGAGCCGGCGTACAGCTTCTGGGTCATGTGGCCAGCAGGACTAAGCCGCTTCTGGCAAACCAGAGCAGTGCATGGAAACGCCGTTTACCTTCCCGCCGGAGCAGTACCTATTTATCTACTTGCGCTGGTGTGCTTTCGAACTGCTAGGTTGGCAGGAGCAGGGACCGAGCAACGGGAGATGACCCCATCACCAGGATTTGAACCGCCGACCTTCTGATTGGCAAGTCCTAGGCTCTGTGGTTTAACCCACAGCGCCACCCGCGTCCCTCATTTTTGCATTTGTAGAAACCAATAAAAAGCATTGAAATCGAAAATAAAATAAAATAGGGGGCAAACCAGGCTAGTTCGTGTAGCCCTAGCGGCATCGCCTTGCCATTTTGACTGCCCTTTCCCCGAAAAATATCTCTGTGACAAGGAAGCACGAAGTGCTGATCTCCGAAATCGAGAAGTTCGGAGGAGGGCAGTTTCAGGGAATTCCCCCAAAGAGGTAGAAAAGGTTGAGCAACCGGTTCTCCAGAAAACACGACGTTTGCATTACGGGAAATCCCATGGGCAAATAAGACGCAGGGTATTCTGGCAAACACCAGAAGTTTTGGACTAATTTGTTCTCCGTCGGTGAGAGCATGGCGCTGAAAACGCCAAGGTTGGAGCATGGATGGCGGCTAACAGAATGAGGTTGAATCCTGGCAAGACAGAAGTTCTGTTCTTGGGGGACAGGGGGTGGGTGGCTGTGGAGGATTCCCTGGTCCTGAATGGGGTCACTGTGCCCCTGAAGGACCAGGTGCGCAGCCTGGGGGTCATTTTGGACTCACAGCTGTCCATGGAGGCACAGGTTAATTCTGCGTCCAGGGCAGCTCCATCTGGTGCACAGGATGAGACCCTCCCTGCCCGCAGACTGTCTGGCCAGAGTGGTGCATGCTCTGGTTATCTCCCGCTTGCACTATTGCCATGCGCTCTCCATGGGGCTCCCTTGGAAGGTGACCCAGAAACTGCAATTAATCCAGAACGCGGCAGCCAGACTGGGGACTGGGAGTGGAGACCATATAACACCGGTCCTGAAAGACCTGCATTGGCTCCCAGGATGTTTCCAAGCACAATTCAAAGTGTTGGTCTGACCTTTAAAGCCCTAAACGGCCTCGGCCCAGTATATCTGAAGGAGCGTCTCCACCCCGGACACCGGGGTCCATCTCCTGAAGGCCTTCTGGCGGTTCCCTTCCTGCGAGAAGCGAGGTTACAGGGAACCAAGCAGAGGGCTTTCTCGGTGGTGGTGCCTGCCCTGTGGAACTCCCTCCCATCAGATGCCAAGGAAATAAACAACTATCTGACTTTCAGAAGACATCTGAAGGCAGCCCTGTTTAGGGAAGCTTTTTAATGTTTGATCGTGTTTTTAATATTCGATTGGGAGCCGCCCAGAGTGGCCGGGGAAACCCAGCCAGATGGGCAGGGTATAAATAATAAATTATTATTATTATTATGAAAACCTCCTCTGTCTTTCTCCGTCTCTGCCAACCAGCTGGAAGAGGCTGCCTCCTTGAACCCGGACGTGCAAAAGCTAGCTTTCCAACGCCAGGGCAGGAACGTCCCCGAAGGGACCCTGTGCGAGGTGGCCGGCTGGGGCATCACTCGCAACACGGGCAAGCGGCCAGACGTATTGCAGCATGTGGAGCTGGGGGTCATCGGCCGAGCCAAATGCAACCAACGGATTCACCACGACGGGGAGGTGACGGAGAAAATGATGTGTGCCGACTCCAGGAAGAAAGACTCCTGCAAGGTACTTTTTTGAACGAGAGTTCCTCCTCTTCGCACGGGGCAAGAGAAGGATTCCAATGTGCGCAACTCACCTCGCCGCATTGCAGGGTTTTCCCCCCACTAAATGACCCTCTGCAAAAATTACCGTATTTTTCGCTCTATAAGACGCACCAGACCACAAGGCGCACCTAGTTTTTGGAGGAGGAAAACAAGAAAAAACATATTCTGAATCTCAGAAGCCAGAAGAGCAAGAGGGGTCGCTGTGCGGTGAAAGCAGCAATCCCTCTTGCTGTTCTGGCTTCTGGGATAGCTGCGCAGCCTGTATTTGCTCCATAAGACGCACACACATTTCCCCTTACTTTTTAGGAGGGAAAAAGTGAGTCTTATAGAGCAAAAAATACGGTATTTATTTTTTTGAATGAATGAATTACTGCTTTTTCTTTGATAGTTTCAGTTACGCCAACTTTTCGCTTTTATCATTGTGCATTTTCCTTTCCATTATATAGCACACTCTATTCTAGCTCTCTTGACAATTGGATTACATCTACTGCAATAACAATCTCTTAAGTCTAGAAGTATCTAATGCAAGATTGGTTTGGTTGGTTCTTTTGTATGTCGTGTCTGTTTAATAAAATGTTAATGAGAAATCATCACCATCATCGTTGAGAATCCTGGGAGTGCAGGCATAATTTGAACACAGCACTTGGCTTATAGCATGGGTAGGCAAACTAAGGCCCGGGGGCCAGATCCGGCCCATTCGCCTTCTCAATCCAGCCTGCGGACGGTCCGGGAATCAGTGTGTTTTTACATGAGTAGAATGTGTCCTTTTATTTAAAATGCATCTCTGGGTTATTTGTGGGGCATAGGAATTCGTTCGTTATTATCATTCTTTTTCAGAATATAGTCCGGCCCCTGCAAGGTCTGAGGGACAGTGGACCGGCCCCCTGCTGAAAAAGTTTGCTGACCTCTGTACTAGAATCTCTCTGTGCTATCCAGATTTAGCTTTAGTTCAGGCAAGCAAGTCTGGGGAACCACCTGCCACTAGAACATGGGTAGGCAAACTTAGTCCCGGGGGCCAAATCCGGCCCAATTGCCTTCTCAATCCAGACGGTCCGGGAAGCAGCATGTTTTTACATGAGTAGAATGTGTCCTTTTATTTAAAATGCAACTCTGGGTTATTTGTGGGGCATAGGAATTCGTTCATATATTTATTTCAAAATATAGTCCGGCCCCCCACAAGGTCTGAGGGACAGTGGACCGGCCCCCTGCTGAAAAAATTTGCTGACCCCAGGCTTATAGAATAGTGGCAAATATCTGACGTTCTTGTTTTTTCCTCACCCCTTTTTCCCAGGGAGATTCGGGGGGGCCCCTCGTCTGCAACGGCGTCGCCGAAGCCGTCGTCTCCACCGGCTCGCGAGTTTGTGGCAACTGGAAGAAACCCGGGATTTATACCCGAACTGCTCCGTACGCCGAATGGATCGACAGTGTCTTGGCCAACGCAACCAGCGGATCTCTCCTTGCCCCGCAAATTTAAGATACAAAATTTAGAAGAGTTTCTTCCAAATTTATTCTACAAATATCTCAATAATAAAATGTCACTGATTGACTCTTCCAACTTTTCTTCTCCTTCTTTTTCCTTTCTTCCTTTTTTGTTCTTTTTTATATATGTGTGCTTATCTGAAATATATATGTATTTGCAATATTTTGCAATAATGATGTTAAATAAAATTAATTAAAAAAAAGAAGATGCAAAATTTAGAAGATTTTGCATGGCTTTCCACCACGTTCCAGGCTTCCATTCTCCAAATCTGCAAAAAAATCCTTCGGTGTTTCAGCACAATTTTCTCTATTTTTTGTACAATCCCAGCTGTTTCCCGCAAGCCACAACTTCTCCTGGCGCAAGGCATTTTTTGATGTCGTTTCCACAGTCGTTACCCTGCAGTTTTCTGCGGTTTTTGCAAAAGCGCACTGCGAAATTCGGATCAGACAAAATAATTAAAAATCATTAAAAACATATCTGAAAAAGTGTGAACCTGTTGCAAACCGATGGGAGGAGGGCGTTTCGATCTTCGAAAAAGCAGAGACTCTGCAGGAGATGGAATGCCAAGAAACACGAAAACAGCCTTTTTGCAAAACTCAGAACCTTTATATTTACAAAACCGCCTTATTTTTTCCCAGTCCGGCTTCCCTGCAGTCCTTCCTCCCGGCCTTGCGGGGGCGCCGTCACGAGTAGCCTAACGGCATCCTCCTCCAAAGCCCGCCACAGAGGCAGTTCTTGATCCAGCGCTGCTCCCACTGTTTGACGGCCGTCGTCTTGTTAGGCGAATGCAACATGGTGACGCAGCCGCACCTGCGGAGTCAAGACCGGAAGTTGCGTCTTAGCTCCATATGGCCGGCATGGGTTGGCAGCAGCTTCCCGCAGGTCTAAACCACGTGGGTATTTCCCCCTCTTCTCCTTCCCTAGCCCTAACGGATTTCGACCGGGACCGGGGATGCTGTAACCACTGAGCAGCGCTGCCTCCCGTCGCCGTTTTTTCCCTGCCACTCACCTGGTGCACGATTTGCACTCCTCTGTGGGGTACGCCCCGAGGTGGAGCCGCCGCAAGTGGTCGATCTTCGGCTGCCCAGGGGCCCTGAATTAAGGAGGCAAAACATCGGCGTTTGGAAAGCAATAATAATAATACCAATAATTTATTATTTATATCCCACCCATCTGGCTGTGCTTCCCCAGCCACTCTGGGCGGCTTCCAACAAAATATTAAAATACAGTAATGCATCAGACATTAAAAGCTTCCCTAAACAGGGCTGCCTCCAGGTGTCTTCTAAAAGTCAGATGGTTGTTTATTTCCTTGACATCTGACGGGAGGGTGCCACCACCGAGAAGGCCCTCTGCCTGGTTCCCTGCAACCTCACTTCTCGCAGGGAGGGAACCACCAGAAGGCCCTCGGGAGATGGACCCCGGTGTCCGGGGTGGAGATGCTCCTTCAGGTCTACTGGGCCGTTTAGGGCTTTCAAGGTCAGCACCAACACTTTGAATTGTGCTTGGAAACATCCTGGGAGCCAGTGTAGGTCTTTCAAGACCGGTGTTATGTGGTCTCCACTCCCAGTCCCCAGTCCAGCTGCCGCATTCTGGATTAGTTGCAGTTTCCGGGTCACCTTCAAAGGTAGCCCCACATAGAGCGCATGGCAGTAGTCCAAGCGGGAGATAACCAGAGCATGCACCACTCTGGCCAGACAGTCTGCGGGCAGGGAGGGTCTCATCCTGCGTACCAGATGGAGCTGGCAGACACAGAATTGACCTGCGCCTTCATGGACAGCTGGGAGTCCAGAATGACCCCCAGGCTGCGCACCTGGTCCTTCGGGGGCACAGTGACCCCATTCAGGACCAGGGAGTCCTCCACACCTGCCCACCCTCTGTCTCCCAAGAACAGTCCTTCTGTCTTGTCAGGATTCAACCTCAATCTGTTATCCGCCATCCATCCTCCAACCACCTCCAGACACTCACACTGGACCTTCACTGGTTCTGATTTGAGAGGTACCACTTTCAAATAAGCCATGACAGCTGGTGGTGGCATTCCTGTGGCAGGGAGTTCCGCTGTCTCCCCATCGCCCGACACCTACCTGACGAAGGCGTCGAATTGCAGGGAGGCGGGGTGGCCTTGCCCCTGCCCCGGGGGCTTCCCGAACTGCATCCGGACGGGCTGCTTGCTCTGCAGCTTGTGGATGATGGCGTCGTTGACGGGCAACCAGTCGAGGTTCGGGATGAGCAGCTGGCTGGGCAGCAGGCAGCACTCGTCAATCAAAGCGTCGTCCGGCTCGCTGGGGTGGCTTTCGTCCCGACCTGCGAGGGGCAACGGGGGGGGGAGGTGAGGCACAGAGGAAGTGAATCTGGGTACCTCGAAAAAAATAAAATTGCCCTGCATCTAGAAAGCTAGCGCGTCAGGGAGGAAGGTTTGACTTGCAAATTTTGTAAAAAAAATTGCTTTTGCATGCAAAGCTCAGCAGAAAGCCCCGTCTCCATTCCTGCAGGGTTTTCCCCTGAAACACGCAAAGCTGCCCCCTGAAATTTGCCTTCGGACTCCCTGCACCTAGAAATCTAGCGGACCAGGAAGCAAGGTTTTACTCAGACGGAGTTTTAGCACACATGAAAAACTGAAATCCTCATTTCCTGATTAACATCCTTTGGACTATAATGTAACTTAGAGATAATTTTTACCCCTCTAAAAGCATTTTATTTTAAAAATCCAATTGAAATAAAAAAACGATACCTTACAGCATGTGTATCCATGTTTGTTAACTGATGTGGTTAAACCTTTTATATAAATATATATGTGTGCGTATACACACACACACACACACATATACTTAGCAATTTATTTTAAAAATCTGATTTAAATGAAAAACAAATCTGGTTAAAAACAACAACTTAGCACTTTATTTTAAAAATCTGATTTAAATAAAAAACGAATCCGGTTTGCACTGATTTTTATCCACCCTGGTCTGAATTATGCGAATAAAGGCTGAATGAATCGATTCCGCTTTAATTTCATTTATATATTGCAAAATCTGCAGTTGCCTTGACCCTTGCGCAACAGCCCTTATTAATGAATAAGTTCCGCTTTAATTTCATTTCTATATTGCAAAATCTGCAGTTGCATCGACCCTTGCGCAACAACCCTTATTAATGAATAAGTTCCGCTTTAATTTCATTTCTATATTGCAAAATCTGCAGTTGCATTGACCCTTGCGCAACAGCCCTTATTAATGAATAAGTTCCGCTTTAATTTCATTTCTATATTGCTATATCTGCAGTTGCATGGAGCCTCGCGCAACAGCCCTTATTAATGAATAAGTTCCGCTTTAATTTCATTTCTATATTGCAAAATCTGCAGTTGCATTGACCCTTGCGCAACAGCCCTTATTAATGAATAAGTTCCGCTTTAATTTCATTTCTATATTGCTATATCTGCAGTTGCATTGAGCCTCGTCCCCTACTCACAGCACAGCCAAAGTTTGGTCAGAAGCCGGAAGAGGAGGGACATGCTGTCCTGCGTATCGGAAGTGGCCGTGTAGATGGGCAGGCAGCTGGGCTTCAAGAGGCCCCAGATGCGAATCACGACCATCAGTTCCCGCAGCATGGCCAGGGAGGAGCCGTCGCGGAGGAAGCTGTGTCCCGGGCGGACGGGACCTGAGCCCTGGGGGGAAAGCGGGCAGGTTAGGACGGTCCAAACTGACCGGGAGAATCCGCGACCAGAAAGAAGAAGAACACCAAGAAGACTGGAAGAAAGTTAAAGACTCTTTGAATATTTTGGGTTTTCACGCGTAGAAAGTAGGCGGAGAGTCGGATTGCCGGTCGATCCGGAAGACAATTTGGGAAAGTGTTTGCGCAGTGGGGGGCTTGGGGGGAGGGGTCTCACCTGGTTCGGAAGGCTGGCCAAAAGGTAGAGGACAAAGTCGCCGACCCACTGGATGAGTTGTTGGAGAGACTGCAAAGTGGTCATTTCCAAGACAAACTCCTCCGTCTTCAAGTTGATCATCACTTTGTCGATATCTGGAAAGGGAGTTCTTGTTATTACCGTATTTTTCGCTCTATAAGACGCACCAGACCCCAAGACGCACCTAGTTTTTGGAGGGGGAAAACAAGAAAAAAATATATTCTGAATCTCAGAAGCCAGAACAGCAAGAGGGATCGCTGCGCAGTGAAAGCAGCAATCCCTCTTGCTGTTCTGGCTTCTGGGATAGCTGCGCAGCCTGCATTCGCTCCATAAGACGCACACACATTTCCCCTTACTTTTTAGGAGGGGAAAAGTGAGTCTTATAGAGCAAAAAAGACGGTACGTCACTGGGGAGACTGTCACGCACCCACGTCGGTGATCTTGGAGCAGATCTCCGTGAGACGGTCGCCGGGGCTTTTGTCGGGGGTGTTCAGGACCGGGGGGCGGAGGAGCGATTTGAGGGTGCAGCTGATGGCGATCAGGAAAAGCTTCGCGTGATAGTCGCACACCCGAGACACGGTGGTGGAGGAGAGCTTGCACAGCGACGCCTTCATGGAAATAATCCGGGTCGAGAGCACCTGCCAAAGCAAAAAAAAAAGGGTTATGCTGTCGTGAAATTCCACGCAATATCGACCCAGAGCAGATTGCGACGTGTTAGTCAGCGCAGTAAAAATTTAAAACACGATGCACGATTCCACCCAGAATAGACCAGAGGCAATGAATATTTCATCCAACAGAGCTTCACTGGGACTGAAGGCAAATGAGGACAATGGTCACATTCAGGATCGGCCCTGTCCGTAAGAAATCCAGTCATCTGGTTGTAAATATTAAGACGGTACCAACAAGAATGAGTCTGTCTGCAAAAAAGTAATGATTTAAATCAAGTCTTACTGCCAAACCATGTTCAAATGCTGCTTAAAAATAGCGGAGGTCATATCCGTGACTAACATACTCATATAATAATAATAATGTTTTATTCTTTATACCCCGCCCATCTGGCTGGGTTTCCCCAGCCACTCTGGGCGGCGTCCGACAAAATATTAAAACACAATAGCCTATTCAACATTAAAAGCTTCCCTAAACTCACAAATATTTCACAACGGAAAGCGTCCTTTCGTAC